CTGTCTGGCTTTCTCCTTTGCAATCCCTGAGTTTCTGGTTGCAATTCTGACACAACCCTTTCGGGTGGGTGGGACTTCTGAGAAGTCCTCTCCCATAGGACAGTGGTTTCTCTTGAGTGACAGTTCAGTGACCCGGAAGTGATGTAGCCTCCAAGACTTTTTTTTTCCACCTGGCCAACAACATGAATTTTGAGCCCCAGACACATTATTTCTGCTGTCTGTGGCGTCTATTGAGGATCTAAAGTGAGTATTGATAATATATTTTATCTTTTCTTAGTTAATCGTTAAGTTAAGCCACTTTTGAAGTTGGTTTTAACCAGACGTTAGCTCACTAGCTAGCTGCTAAGCAAGCCATTGTGCTAGCCTCAGGACAATGGTCTATTGTTCCAGAGAGACGTATTAAAAACTGTGGGAGGTGGGAAAAAATGTCTTGGAGGCTACATCACTTCCAGGTCACTGAACTGTCACTCAAGAGAAACCACTGTCCTATGGGAGAAGGACATTGATAACAAAAACACATAGAGGCAAACAGAAAAGGAAACATACTTTGTTACTCATTTTAAGAAGTTGAGTCAGATAGTAAGTTTTACTTTTGAAACATGTTTTTTTCCTTTAGTCAATATTTTTGTTCTGTCAATTTCTTAATTTTTGTTTGACCGTCAAAGTGTTTTTCTTGATCATTTTAAGAATCAGATTCAGATCGTAAGTTTTTCTTTTGAAACGAATGTTTTTTCTCACAATGTCTTAAAATTTGTTTGCTCTCCAAAGTGTTTTTTTCTTGATCCTACTGGCACAAATCTAATCCCATAATAGAGCACCTTCCACAACGTTATCAGAAGCCCAAGGTGCTGAACATCATCATCATAAAAACATTCCCAGTACCTGGGCATAAAAGCAAGATAAAAACATAAAATCATAAATAACAAGCAAACAATATTACAAATACAGAGAGATAACGGAATAAGACTAATCTATTAAAAACAAAAGGTGGACAAAATAAGATCAAGCATCCTGGTCAAAAAGAAGAAGTATTAAAACCATAATGTCAGGGCAATTCAAAGAACCCTATCGCTGAAAAGCAATCAAATAAAAATGAGTCTTTAGACGAGACTTAAAGACTTGAAGGGACGGCGCCTGCCTAATGCTCAATGGCAATTCATTCCACAGAGTTGGAGCCAAAACAGAAAAAGCATGATAACCCCTCGATCGATATTTCTCGACCGGGGGACCACCAGAAGTTCCTGCTCGGCTGAGCGAAGAGACCGAGATGGAGCATACCTGTGCAAAAGTGCAGTAATGTAAGAGGGGGCACTGCCCTGGAGGGCCTTATTAACGAAAGTTAAGACTTTAAATTTAGCTCGATATTGCACCGGGAGCCAGTGCAGAGCAGTCAGCACTGGGGTAATGTGCTCTCGACATCTAGTACCTGTCAGGAACCTAGCCACTGAGTTCTGCACAAACTGGAGCCGTGCACTGGGCCAGACCAGCATACAGAGCGTTACAGTAGTCCGGACGAGACAGGATGAACGCATGCAACGCAGACTCCAGATAAGCTCTGGACAGCAGTGGCCTGATCCTGGATAGCCTTTTCAGGTTAAAAAACAGGACCTCACCACTGTATTTACGTGAGTGTCAAGATTAAGTGAGGAGTCCATTTTAATCCCCAAATTACTGACTATTTTCTTTTCATAGGGGGTCAATGGGCCAAGGTCAATATCAGCACCAGAGCCATTTCTTCTGCCAGGACTAAGTATTATGACTTCCGTTTAGTTCTCATTTAGATGTAAAAAATTAGAAGCCATCCAACATTTTATGTCCTTCAAACAGTCCAGTAAAGGAGAAACAGATCTATCCTCCCCACGTTGAAGAGGGAGATACATCTGGCAGTCATCAGCAAAAAAATGAAATTTCACATTATGCTGACGAAGGAGGACTCCAAGAGGAATCAAATACACTGCAAATAGGAGAGGACCAAGGACAGAGCCCTGTGGCACACCCCAACGAAGTCTCACGCAGGGTGACGTCACCTCACCCATCTGAACACTAAATGTCCTGTCTTGAAGGTAGGAGCAAAGCCACTGGAGGGCCTGCCCTGTTATCCCCACCCAATGCTGTAGTCGGTCCAGAAGGACTTTGTGGTCGACTGTATCAAAAGCTGCAGATAAGTCCAGCAATAGCAGGACAACATCGTTATCCATGTCACAGGCTAAAAACGTGTCATTAAAAACCATTAAAAGAGCAGATTCAGTGCTGTGACCTGCCCTGAACCCTGACTGAAAGGTCTCCCATAAATCATTTGTGTCCATAAAGGCAACCAATTGTGAATACACAACCTTCTCCAGCAGTTTGGAAAGAAAAGGGAGTTTTGAGATGGGCCTGTAATTAGCTAAGGTTGTCACATCCAGCCCAGACTTATTTAACATAGGATGAATAACAGCCTTCTTAAACGAGGACGGAACCATACTAGAAGTAAGACTGCCATTTATGATTGCCAAAAGTAAAGGGCCTATCACTGGAAAGAGTTCTTTAAAAATTCTAGGGGACAGCACATCACAAGGAGAGCCAGAAGGTTTAAGCTGAGCGACCAGTTTTTCCAAGTCCGATAATGATACAGTCTCATATGTTTCCAGTGTAGCCTGGGGCGGCTCTCCCAAGCTCTTTCAATGTTTAGAGCAGCAGGAACTCTGAGGCTGCAGGAGCACCAGTGAGTTTGTGCCTCTGCTCAGGGGAGGGGGGAGAGGGCTGAAGCAAGATGCAGAAACTACCGTTGTTAAAAGAAATGTTTAACTTAGAAAATGTGGGCACAATTTTAATTGTCAAAAACTCCTGCGAACCAACCCCCCCGCCCCCCGTCGAAAAAAAAACGCTTGGTCACCCATCGTCAGTTTTAGCCACTTCAGGTGTATGACGTCATTAACGACTAGTTGAAGTCGACTCCATTTTCATTACTTGATGGTCGACTTTAAAAAAGATGAAGTCGTGCAGCCCCTTTTCTCCACAGAGTATTTGCTTTTGATTTGTTGCTTTTGTTACGGCTTTGATCCTCGGCTCTTTGCCTCTTTTCACAGACAACAAACCAGAGAAGGAGAGAATCCTGAAGAGTGCAGAGTGCTGCAGAAAGATCCTCAACCATGTCAATGAAGAGGTCAAGGACATGGGGAACATGTTGGTAAGAAACACAGAAAACCTGAAACTAGTTATGCACTTACTGAGCGTCGGCTGGAGTCTTTTGAAGCCGCCTGCTCTTAGACTCCCGCTGCTTCGATGCCGAGCTCGCCAAAGGCATTCTGACCTCCTCGTCTCTCTCTTTGCTCTCAGACTCTGAAGGAATACCAGAAAAAACTGGACACATCAGGACTCAAACCCAGTAACGATCTTTACAACGAGTATAAGGTACTTTTATTCCATCAGACCTTTGTTTTAGCTCAAACTGCTTCACGGTATTGCTCTGCTGTAGGATTCTCACTTTTTATTTGCTCGTTCCAGAACATCGACTTGACTCAGAAGAAGATGCTTTATGAGGGCCCATTAATCTGGAAAGTTACCAAGGAGAAGGCTATTGGTAAATATATATTCATGCATTGTGGTACAAAAAAAAACTTTCAGGGCACAGATAAGCCCATATATGATGAAAAATGATCGTTGGCACTAAGGAGATGTTTGCTTGGAAGTTTGTTTGTTTCGGGACGGCAGATACAAATTAGCTTCAAGCTAAATCTGCTACAATGCATCAAATTTCAATATTTATGCTTAATATTGTACATGGTCCTTAAATAAACATAAACATACTGAAATATAAGCCATCAGCCAGGAAACGAGACCCTTGGATTTGATTCAATCCCGCCTCCACCCATTTCATGACCTAACCCTAGATTGCTAGCAAAGCATCATGGGTCACGAAGAACAACACCAAACTCTGTAAACATTTAGTAAACTAGTAATGCGCCGTGGAGCCGTACGTTCTCGACCCGGAGTTCGATAGTGCAGAGTTCAGGTTTGGCACTTCCTAAATGGGGAGGGGCAGGGCTGGATGATGCAGGCATGTCCCGTCCAGCTGTGTGCAACACCTGGGAGGAACAGCAGCTCAGGGAGCAGGAGTCATGCCTGAAGCCAAACACAAAGTGTAGATTAGTGAACAACAATATAACGGTCAAAAGCTCCAAAATGTTGATTTGGCATGATGTAGAACCTCATTCGCTGCCAGCCGTTTCCTGATCGGTAAAGCCCTTCGCTGCCAGCGTTTCTCTCCGTTTTTACAGTTTTTTTAAGAGTCACAGGACGTTGCGTGTTAGGATGATGTTGACGCCAAAACAAAGCAGAGACTCACCTTTTCCATCAGGCGGAATCCGCACGTTTCGAGCGTGATCCATTCTTTCATAATCCGTTGTTGAATTGTGATCGGCAGAAGCTTTTCCGGTTCGCGACTCGCTTTTTTTTTTACAGCAGTGGCCCAAAACGATCTCCTAACACGTGGATTTTCTGCTTCCTGATCACGTGACGTGCGACGTATGCGGATAAAGATCGGCTTTAGAGCTGAGATGTTTGTTCTTACGGTGCGGGGGCTCGTCCGACGCCCACACAGTAAAAAAGTGCCAATGACGACTTCATGTTTTTTTGCTAAAATCTCACTGATGATTACTGTTTAAAGTGACCTTCCTCATAATGGAAACCTTGTCTGTTGGCATATTTCCTAGAGTTAGATAAGTGGAGAAATATACAATTTTTGCCCAGTCCAGTCATTCTCCCCACCTGGCTCTAGTGTTTATGGTGGTTCCCCAACAACGGGTGCATCTGTGTTTACAGAAGCAGGTGTCTTTGGGGCTGCCTTGCACCATTCAGTGGAGGCTTACAGCTGTGCTTCGTTGTAAAGTTGTCCCAAGTCTAAAATGGCGTCTTTGTTATGAATTATTTTCACTCTGATTATTTAGGTCACCAAGCAGAATTGGGAACACTACTGAGTGATTTTAAGGACTTTTGACTGACAGTGCTAGTTGGATCCATTCACTTACTGTGTTTTATGCTAAGCTAAAGCTAAAGGAGTACAGCTGGTGTCGGTGCAGGATCGGCTCGGGGTCCTTCGACTGCCGATGATGTCAAAGTAGTTGATTGGCTGAACATGAAGCTTACGGAAGTGACGTTATCACGTTATGATTTTGATTGGTCAGAACAAATTTGCGGTCGTAGTCTTAGCGGTTGTAGTCCTGTAGTCCAAAAATCAACACTTTTTGGGGAAAATATGTCTGAATTTCTCACTGAAATGTTAAATATAAGCAAATGATAAACGGTGACCCTCAAAAGCTCTTGATGTTGATGAAATGGGGCAAAATAAAATATAAGAACTTTACTGAAAGACACCAAGCAATATTTTGAGTCAAAGAATGTATTTAGATAACAACTAAGGAAATATACAGACGGACTCCACATTAATGCTAACAGATGTGGCTTCACATATAAGAACTGTTCTATTGTTTGTCAGTCCGATGTTGGTTTTATGCAGTTTCACATTCTTTACAAAACAAAGATAATATGGTGTTTTATTAACAAATTACAATTATAAAGAAAACATTTAGGTGTTAACAAACAAGAATTTATTAACACAACTGCTGATGTCTTTCCAAAACGTGTGTGTGAAAGCCGAGTAGATTTGCAGTAATGTGACGTCATCGGCAGTCGAAGGACCCCGAGCCGATCCTGCACCGACACCGGGTCAGGAGAATGACTGGGCTGGTTTTTTCCCACTTATCTAACGCTGGGAAATAGGTCAACAAACAGCATTTTAATTTTGGGTGGAATATCCCTTTAAAAGGCAGTATTTAATAGCCATCGTTGATGTATTTTTCTTTATTTTTCATGTCCCTTTTTCGATATTTGCACATTGTCATTGCTAAAATAGAAAGCACAGCTGTTCTGCAGCTGGCTGCGTTTACTTCCTCTTTCCTGTGTCTGCCATGGTAACACTGATGCACGTTAGAAAGGAAAAGTCTCTAAATCAGGTGTCTTATTAAATATTTGGACCTGGTACTGGCCGATGAGCCTGTTTAACTAGAACAAACGTGATTAATAAGGTTAGCGTTTGGTTTTCCACAGAGGTGCAGTGTGTGCTGCTCGGAGATCTGTTGGTGCTCCTGCAGAGGCAGGATGACAAGCTGGTCCTCAAATGTCAGAGCAAGAGTATCGCTGTGCAGGAGGTCAAGCAGATGCTGAGCCCCATTATCAAACTGAACTCCGTTTTTCTTCGTGATGTGGCAACAGGTTTGTTTCACAGTTAATAAATGAAACGTAGTCTTTTTTAACCGTTTCATTTATCGATTTGTTTTTGTTCCTGTTCCATCAGATCGAAAGGCTTTCTACGTGATCTTCACCTGGGACAGCGGGGCTCAGATTTACGAGCTGGTGGCACAGTCCTCTGGAGAAATGAAAACGTGAGCATCATAAACGGCTGTCACATCAATAAAGAAAGGATGATCTGGTGAAGGAACATCAACCTAATTATGTTTTTAGGTGGATGGAGGTGATAAAGGTAGCAGTAGGTGAACTGAAGAAGATTGCACCAATGAGGCTGCCTGTACCTCCCGGAGGTGGAATTGGAGGTCCTCCAGTGAGCCCCACCTCGTATGTTGTTTTTGCATCGGACTCTTGCTAAATTTTCCCGCCTCATTAAGTTTAATGACTCTTGTTGTTTGACTTCCACCAGCGGCCCGTTGAGCCCCACTGAGAATGGAGGTTTGAAGAGCAGCAATGGTGAGACTGGAACAAACGACCCCGGCTTTCCACTGAATGCATAAACAGCGCGAAACGTAACAGACCCGCGCGTCCTTCCCGTTGGGAACATTTCAGACGTCAAACGGCACTGAAAGAGTTCACAAAATAACCGGAAAATCTCGCGTTATTCCTACAGTTCACGCGATAACAAGCATGGAGAAAGACGGGAGCGGGCATCTAAAACGCTCTGTTTATTTTCTGTTCTGTTTACCTCAGCTTCATTTATGTACTTTATTTTACTAGTTATGCAACTGGAAAGCTTTATGTGACTTTTATTTTGAAAGTGCATGTTTTACACTGCTCCCAGATTTGACTTCCTGTCTGGCCCCTTTGCGTGTCTCAGGCAAGAAATCTGGGTTTTTTTCATTGACGGCTATTTTAAGCTTGATAAACAGATAAGTTCTGTTGTCCAGAGCGTGTTCTTCGTAAAGTCGAGCCCTATTTACCAATTAAAGACTTTGAAAAGGTTATACACTTGCATATCATGTCGAGACTCGACTACTGCAAGTCGCTGTATCATGGACTGGAGCAGTCGTCAATTCACCGCTTGCAGGTGGCTCAGAATGCGGCAGCTCGCTTGCTGACAGGTAGGAGATGCAGGGGTCACATAACTCCGGTTTTACAAGCTCTTCACTGGCTCCCGATCACTTACAGGATTAAATTTGAAATGCCACCGCTCTGTTTTAAGGCACCACACAATTTGGCCCCTCCTTATCTGTCGGAACTCTTAAACACTCGTGTCCCCAAACGAAACTTGCGATCATCCTCTCTACATCTCTAATCTGTTGCCCAGTCTAGGCTGAAGTCCAGAGGCGACAGAGCTTTTTTCTGTGGCCGCTCCCAAGCTCTGGAACAGCATTCCCCTACAGATTACCGTATTTTCCGGAGTATAAGTCGCACCAGCCATAAAATGTATAATGAAGAAGAAAAAAACATATAAGTTGTATCTTGGGGGGAATTTTTTATAATTTTTCTTACAAAATCTGAGACCAAGCATTTCACATTGCAAGACAAGTACCGGTAACAATAACAGAATAAACAATCAGGGCGCCGCAGCGCGCCACGGTCTCCAGCAGAGGATGGCGGTGTTTGAAACCCTCCCAGCGGGACAGGGAAGCTCATTCCTGGGCCGGCAACACATTCTCACACCCAAAGCATCAAAATATGACGCGTGTGACCAAGCGTCAATATATGACGATTCGGGATGCCCCAGCGCTTCAGGAGATGACAATCAGGGACACGTGGCTCCGCTGGCGTCAGTGTTTAACGCCCGCGGTCACACGGACATTATTCGACTATTTAACCTTCCCCTCACCCCAATCCTAACCTTAAGGTCAGTAACTGTGAACTTAAGGTTAAGACTGGGGTGAGGGGAAGGTTAAGTAGTTCACAAGTCGTTCTAAAGTCCGTCTCACCACCGGCGTCGGATACCGACGCTCTGGGATGGTGCGTCATCAGTGTGTCCCTGATCGTCGTCTCCTGACGCCCTGGGGCGTCCTGAATCGTCATATATTGATGCTTGGTCACACGCGTCATATTTTGACGCTTTGCGTGTGAGAATGTGTTGGGACCGAAGCCGGCTGGCAGCAGCGCGGTATAGCCTACATAATTTGGTATATAAGTCGCGGGACCAGCCAGACTATGAAAAAAAAGTGCGACTTATAGTCCATAAATTACGGTAGGTCTGCTAACAGCCTTTCTACCTTTAAGTCTCTGTTAAAAACATCTTTTTACCCTTGCTTTTAAATAAAAAAACTGATTTCTTTGTTCATTTATTTTACCTAGGGTCTACTGGATGTTTCTCAGTGCTTTATCATTTTATTCTTACTGGTTGTCTGTGTACAGCGCTTTGTGCAATCTCTGATTGTTGGAAATGTGCTACATAAATAAACTTGACATTGACATTGGCCCGATCTGAACTGCGGAGTTTGACGCATTCTGTAAGCATAGCGTTTAAAAAGTGGACAAAGCGTAAACAACGCACCCCTACACTTCCTGGAGACAGCTCAGCAGCTGGTGGAAATGCACCCATCAACTGGAACTGAGGCTAATTGCGCGTACTACGCCTCGCGGCGTTACATGGCGCTTATGAGTCCAGTGGAAAGACCAAGGTCAATTTCTATAAATCTGGCTTTATTGCACATTTGTGAAGACCTTTTCCTCTCTGCTGATCCAGATAAAGACAGCTTGATGGATGAGAAGGCAGATCCCAGACAGAGGTTGATAGATTTCCTGGCAGAAAGGGACTTCGACGTGCTGGGGCTCTCCAACAGCGTGCAAGAGAAGGTGGCCAACAGCGCTTTGGATGAAGGTGATTCATTGTCTTCTGTGCTTCTTGTAAGAATACAGGTGTAACTTCTTTTAATAAACTCCTATTCTCTCTTTCAGCCAAGTCACTTAAAAGATTGTTGATCAGCAGCATCAGTCTGTCAGAAGACTCTCAGCCCGATGAAGAGGAGGAAGCAGAGAGGGCTAATCAGGAGCTGGAAAGCTCTCAATCAGCAGGTAGGCGGGGTTTCCACTGTATTTTGGGATCAAATGCAAGAAGAAACATCTACAACTTGGTTTAAATCCCCCTTTTTATGCACAATAGATGGCAAGGCCACAGACCGAGGTTATATGGAAGTGACTTGTGAAAAACCAGGTGCGGCGACTAAAGACGATGCAGATGGGAGCATCAGTGCACCCCTGGTGCTGTCCCAGGAGAGAATGGAAGAAGTGCTCAGGAGGTTCGGCAGCCTGGAGGAACATCTAAAGAGACTACAGGTGAACAGAGGGGGGAGGTGGATGAGAAGAGCAAGCAGAGAGAGGTAGAGCAGCGTGGATGACAGAAGCGGATAAAGATGGGAGACAAGAAAAGATTGGAGCCGAGTGGAAAGAGACGCGTGTCTGGCCATTTCAGCCGCGATAACTTAAGTAAGGAGCGAGCGGTGGACAAAATAGGGCCAAATGGCACCAAAGAGAAACTGGAGAATAGAAAACCATTTAACCACTGCTGTTACTGCTTTGCTGAAAATTGCCTTGTGAAATTGGACTTGTCTAAAAATGGCTATTATGTCCGGCGGTTGCAATGGGATGTGTCAGGGAAAGCAGCGAGGGAGACAAAGGGTGGATGTTAAGAGGAGGAGGTTGAATTGCGTGTGTCTGTAAGTGAGTTTGTTCTCCATTCCCAAGGTGGTATTGATTTTTCTACATTGCAGACTGTTGAAGAGGAGCATCACAAGCTGCTGGAGGCCCTTTCTAAGTTCACTCTAGAACGGGGGAACTTCTAGTGAGACGCCATTTTGCCACCTGCTGGTCACCAGGTGAGAGCGCCGATCTGGAGGATGTAATCTGATTACAGGATGTCACCATCAGAATATGAGTGTTTTCACATTCTTGTGCTGCGCAGCAGCTTAGATACTGCAGTGATGGTTAGATTTATTAGTGCAGCATTATTAATAATAATAATAATAATAATAATAATAATATAGATCTTCTTTTACATAAAAGCCAACTTCCCACGACCCTACGTGGACAAAGCGGGTTCAGACAATGGATGAATGGATGGATAAAAGCAAACACTTGAAAACTAAATATGTAGGATGAACTAAATTCTTTTTTATTCTATTTCATGTATTATCATCAGATGTATTTATCTGATAAAAATGTATTAAGAAGAATTTAGGTCAGCATTTAGAAAATTGTACTTCTGATTCTAACGGAGATTAATGAAATTATTAATTTTGATTAAAAAAGGATTTTGGTAAATTTGATCATGTTGATAAACTCCCAAAAAAAATGTTCTCAATAAATAAATGACATTTATGGAATATTGATTACAAGTAAGCTAATTAATACAAATGACCTTATGAAGTAAATAAAGCACCCGATAATTGTAACAATTAAAATCACATTAATAGTGATCAGTGCATAAATGCTTAAAGCAGTTCGCAGAGGCTGATATGCAAGTTCACGTTTTTTGTAAATTAGCCAAAAGTTTCTAAATGATTTCACAAAATTAATTTCAATTAAATTTATTCAATCAGAGAATTATTTTATTTATGATTTATTGAATTTGAGCACAGATGTAAAAAAAAAGAAAAGTCAATTAAAAACCTAAAGAGAGTGAAAGAATTTCGAACTTGGGTTTATGCAGACTTGGATTAGAATTTGGATTAACAATCTAGGAATGATTCTAAACGTTGAGCCGTTGTGAGACGTTTTTGTGTTTCGAGACCAAAGAATCAAATGGATCTGCTAAAAACCACAGAAAACCTTTTATTTGTTCATGAAACAGATTTAATTATTTACATAAAGGTTTCTAGGATCTAATGAATTTATAAGCTCTCGTTTTTAAACGTACGCTCGTGGTTACCATTTCTACATGTCGTCTCACTTAGAATAGGACAGAATAGACTTTATTGATCCCACAGTAGGGAAATTCACTTGTTACAGCAGCACAAACACTTAACTAAGGTACACATGCATGTACACATAGGCAATAATCTAGTGTTATAACTAGGGATGAGCGAGTACACCACTATCTGTATCTGTACTCGGAGTGGGCGGGGCCTAACCCGGAAGTGGGTGTGGTTTATAACAATACGTTATTTTAAGTCTGATCAGAAGTTGCTATGTGTATTGTTTATTTGAAAACTATTTACAGAGCAGCCTCAGAGTTGAGATTAAATGTTTTTGATCACAATAGTAAAGGAACTATTACAGAACAAGTTTTTCAGTAAAATCAGAACATTAAAATTTAAGTGCATGAATTAAGAGAGAGAGAGAAGAAAAGATCTTTTCTATAGCGCCTCTCAAGATAAAACTCACGGGGCGCTTCACAAAAACAAAACATGTAAAATAGAAAAAAGAATTTAGAAAATGATTAAAATACATTTAAAATGAGCAAAAAAATGACAATTGTGATTAAAAAATGTAAAGAAAGAGAGAGAGTGAACAGGAAAGGGAGTGGATCCTGAGAAAGAGGAGAGAGAGAGAGAGGAAGAAAAAAAACGACCGGAGCGGAGGCAGTGACTGACGCAGCACGAGCCGTTTTCAGCTCTGTCTTGTCAAATGCACCACGTACGTTACGAAAAAAATAACTTTAAATAACTTTAAAGTAACTTTAACCCTTTGATGCATGAATTATGAAATCTTCAGCCGTGATTTTTTTAACAATTTTTTTCATTCATCTTTAGGTGTGAATGAAACAAATTTCAACAAATATTTCTTGTAAAATTTTATAATTTACAAATAATTTATTACAGGTCCACCTTAGTGGACCACGTGCATTCTGAACATGAAATATGTTGGCTTGACTTACTGAAGTCCAAATGGAGGGCCTCAAATACAATAAAGTCTTCAACAGCTGTGCTTAATAGCAAAAACAAATAAATAACAATTTTGAGTACCTGTCCACTGTAGTGACCATCATGCACCAAAGGGTTAAAAAGAAGCAAACTGAAGAAAACATAGGGAGTACTGAAGAAACGTGAACAGCGAAGCAAGCACAGAGAGATCCGTTACTGTCTGTGTGTGTGTGTGTGTGTGTGTGTGTGTGTGTGTGTGTGTGTGTGTGTGTGTGTGTGTGTGTGTGTGTGTGTGTGTGTGTGTGTGTGTGTGTGTGTGTGTGTGTGTGTGTGTGTGTGTGTGTGTGTGTGTGTGGATGGACCGGACGCGGACTGAGCTGTGAGCTCCCGGCTGCAGAGTTTTGTGTGTAGGGAGGGGCGGGCGCTCTATTTGACTGGCCAATCACAGAGCATGAAGACAGTCAGTTACCCGATACTCGTCTGAAACGAGTATCCGGCTCATCCCTAGTTATAACCTTCAATCACTAAAAACAACTAATAAAAAAGAAAAACTTAAGGGACACAGACATACTATGTATTGGGGGGCAGCAGTAGCTCAACAGGTTGAGCGGGTTGTCCAGTAATCGGAAGGTTGCAGGTTCGATCCCGGCTCCGGACAGAGAATTCTGCTGTTGTGTCCTTGGGCAAGACACTTAATGATACACTGTAGTGTAAAGCGCTTTGGAGTCCTTACTCTGAGAGGCGCTATACAAGTGCGGGTCATTTATGTAAATCTGGTATTGCACAAGTATTGAACTCATACGGAGTATTGCGTTGATGTTGTGTAACAGGATGCCACTTCTTGTCCTTTCTCCCCTTTTAGGTATTTTGTGGCTCCGGTTTGGGCTAAGTGACTGTCAGATGCTTTTCCTGGAATTCCCAAATCTCCCCCAGCACACACACACACACACACACACACACACGCATCTTTCCTGGATCATGATGTTATTTTCTTCGTTTGCAGCCAAGCAGGAAGTTCGCTGCCTTGCAGAATAGTTTTAACAGCTTTGTTGTGCAGCGATGGAACGTGGAAGGTGTGTGTTTGTCTGCTTGGGTGCATGCCTGAAAAAAGAGATGCACAAAGAAGAGAAAAAAAGATGGGTTTCCTACTTTTGCTGAGCGATGCCAAAAAATGAGGAAGCAATGTTTTGCTGTGAGAAAGATTTAGCCTAAAACCACGTAGTAGCTGCAACACACATACACACACCATAAACATGCCTAGTTAATGCCTTAAAGGTCTAATGTAGCATTAGAGAATATATTAATAAACAACTGCTGATGTGTGTTCTAGTTTTTGCCAAAGTAAAACAAAAATGCACTTTTTTCTGATCAAAACAAGTGAAACCCACAGAGCTTATTAGGTAAACAGCTTCATTTTGATCAGATGGGCTTCCTATTAGCAGCCCTCCAAACAAGCGCCTGCAGGAACGTGTGTGTATGTGTGTTACAATGTTTTTAATTAAGATGTTTGTGGAAGGTTCCTACTGTTATCAGGTCTCATTAAAAGCATTTATAAATAATGGCTCAATAGGGGATCATCATGTGGATAATGGAGACTGTTTTTGTATGTGCGGCTTTTATTTATTCCCCTCGGGTGTTTTTAGATCAGTGAGCTGCCCCGTCTGATGGATGCAGTTGCAGTTCTTGGCCAAATAGAGAGAACATTGCGCGGAAAAGATGGATAAAAAAGATAAGAGAAGAAGAAAAGAGCCGGGGTGTGTTTAAAGGTAGAAGGGGAAGAGATAAGTGGGATTAGACAGCTGGAAGTTTGTGCTGAGAAAAGAAACACGTGCGCATTTACAGTTGAGCAACTCCTGATCTAAAAACGCTCCAGTCGGGGTTATAAATGCGTGTTATAGGACTCTTATAAGCGATAAAAACAACTCTTTCCTGTTTGTAATGTGTATCAAAGCTGAGCTGCTGTTTTATTTTACCGCATAGATGTAAGTGTGTCGTCTTTCAAGTACTGGCTAAAGCGAGGCTGCGCACACAGAACCAGAGACGGTCAATTGTTGGTTTTCAACGCAAACATCAGTTTATGAATGTACAGAAGCATTATGACCAAATTCTAGCTTTCACTAAACCCAACCAGATGGTGACTGCTCAGGTCACCAAGCGAACGCCTGAAGCTGTGCTGGACCTGCTCTGCTTAGAGGACTAGAGACCGAGAAAGGTTCAAGCTTCTGGGTCTAAAATCAACAAGTGGGACCAGAAAAAAGGCAACTTTGAGACAGTTGAGCTGCAGTCGGTGTTTGAAAGGAAACTTTCAGGGTTTGGAGGAAGTGATGCTCTTATAGGCGCTGTAATCATGATATCTTGTTTTTTGCTGCAAAAACCGACTCTGGACCTAAAAGAACGAAATATTTACGCTGTTGACAATTCTGTGCCACAAGAGACAGAAAAGTCCTTTAGTTTTGGGACTTTGCTGCCATTCCCCCCGATTGCTGCTCTTTTCTTTTTTTAAATGTACATAAATGACCGTTTGAAGTAGAAAACATTGACTTGCTCATCTCTGATTTGTTTTCCAGCTTCCAGAAATGTTGACGTTTGACTTAAATGGGTTGGGACGAATAAAGTCACTTGGAAAGCTCTTGCTGTGATGTAGTTTGCATTTTCCTCTTTACTGTGTGTTTGTGTGTGTGTGTGTGTGTGTGTGTGAGAGAGAGAGAGAGAGAGAGTTGTCTGTTATTGCACAAATGAATTAAGTAATTATGCAAATGGTGTGACCATGACCGACCCTTTTACGGTCTACAGACCCATCTAACAGAATCGTCTCCATTAGGGGTTTTAGCTGATGTTTACCTTTTGGCACAAACACGTCTCACTCTCTCTCTCTAATGCTGTTTCTCATGTATTCTGTATGAACTTGTATATAATTAGTGTATTTATAGAGTGGTGCCTTCTTCTGATTATTAAACTGTTCACTTCATAAAAGGGCTTGCGACTAAATCCGTGGATTTTGTGACTTTCTTGTTAAACCTCGTGCGGCAGAAGAGAAGTGATTGGAAAAAGCGGTGAGATATCATTCCAGGAGGCTAAGAAAATGTTTTTGAGGGTTGAATAAACTTTGCCTTTTGTTTCCATCTCCATCATGTCAGCATCGTGCGAGCGCATTCACAGCCCTGTTTACCTGATACACTGCTCCTTTTTACCTTTTTGTTTTTCTATAAAATATATGCAAGAACTATAATGTGTATTTGGCATAGATTTTTGTTGTATAAGAAGCTTTTAAATGATATACCTAAGGAAAGTTGTGGTACTTTTGTTTATTAAATTCTTCATTTTTTTTTTAATAAAGTGGGGAAATAAGCATGCGTTGTGTCATTTTATAGTTTAGTTTAGATTATGGATGAGAAAAAATGTGAATTCCTTGAATGTTTGTGTAAACGCAGTCTTTTTAAATGTATAAACGCTTTATTTTTATTTTTTAGATGTGTTCAGATTCAGCGATTAGGCAAATGTGGGACGGTCCGACTTCATTCAAGCAGAAATCCTGACAGTGACAGACTAAAAGCACCAGTGTGTTGTTGCAAAAAAAGTGAACTCTGGATCACTTGAGTGTTTTTGAGCAGAATATTTGATCGCTTTTTTAATTCTTGATTTGAGTTTTTAAAAAGAAAACACGATGGGAGTCGTCGTGTTCCTTGTCCTCTGCAGCGTGGTGGGTAAGTCGCATTCAAAAGCCATTAGTTTTTTTTATTTTTATTTTTTTATTTTATTTCATTCACAATGTATAAAATAAACACAAACAAATACAGGATACATTAACATATTGAAAAAAAAAACATTTGAATGAAAAGGAGCAGATAGAAGAAAAAATCTTATGATTTCTGCCCCTTTTTACGAAATAAAATTATCCGCCAAACGAACACAGTGTAACCTCAGTCACTTTCTAATATTTTCACGTCTAATCTTTGACATTATAATTCTCCTTTTCATAATTACTAAATACATTAGATTTTATACATTTTTTAAATATTGCAAGTGTAGTTGATTCTTTAAATTCCTTGTTAATGGCATTCCACAATCTTACACCATTTACAGAAATGTTACATTCCCTCACTTTGGTTCTGAATCTAGGTTTCTCAAAGACATCAGTTCCTTTTAACATGTACCCACTTACTCTCTTATGAAACATTTTCTGAATATTAGTTGGTAGATTACTCGTATTCGCTCTGTACATTATTTGCAATATAATTGATGTCCGTTTTCTAGATCAGAGAAACAATTTCATGAATTTAAAGTGTGTTGCATATTTTATTAACTTTTATTTGTGTCCTAATCTAGAATAAAAGTGGTTAAAGACTCTTAAGTAATATCTTTAGATTCAGATCTTAAGGGTTCTGCTTCACTGACCCACATTTCCTGTCAGAACAGGTGGTTTACTGCTTTTGTCGTTAGTTTGATCCAAACATGCTGACTTAAAAGCTTGTTTTACTAACTGAATTTTCTATGATGATAAACGCAAAACCTAAACTAGTTATTTTTAGTATATATTTCTTTTATAATTCAACCTTTATTTACTAGGAAAGAATCCCATTGAGATTCATAAATTCCATACCAGGAAGTTCTGGCTTAAAAAACAAGTTAAGCCACCACATAAAAAATTATATCGTTTTTTTGGGTAACCGGATCGCTTTAGAAATTATCCATTTTTTTTCTGCTAATTCAGTTGAAGGTGTCTAATTTGCATCAAAACCGAAACAAGTGCTTTAAATGTAGTTTTGCCAAATAAATAATAGTAATTTAGACTAATAATCAGACAGAAAATCGTATCTTCTGTGATTTTAGGCATCAAGGTGAGTCATGAAGCAGAATTATATAAAAATGTGTCATCTGCATAAATATAAAACATGTTATTTATACAACAAAGAAATATTGGGCTCAGTAAGGTTCCCTGTGGTACACCCTGAATAACCAAATAGTTGGAAGAAACCATCAACTAGAAGAATTAGTGTTTTGCCACAATTGCTATTATTTTCAGCCCCTCAAAGTCTGATAAAATAAACTATATGTGTTATACCATTTATTGGCTAAAATGTGTATACATATTTATTTTGGTTAATTATATAATAATTATCAAAAAGAACTTAATTGGCACCTGCAAAATTTAGATTCTCATTACCAGAGGAGATTCATATCGACACCGCAGGTTTCTGAGGAATGTTTTGAGGTCGAACTCTTAGAAATCTGGAAAAGGACTTTAAATAAAATGCATGTAAAACAATGTGATTGTTGCTTCTTTTGCAGGGGGTTTGGCTTCAGAACAGGTGATATTAGACGCAGACAGGCCGTTTTTGAGGGTCCAGCTCTATGACACGGCCACCCTGAAATGCTGCTACAAAGGAGGATCTAAATTTTTAACTTGGATAAAACGGGACTCATCAGCTGCCAAAAATCGAGTGAAGGACACGGTCTCTGAAGTTGAATCGGACAGCTTGCACTGCAGCACCCTAACCTTCGACAAGGTCGAGCTGAACGACACGGGGCTGTATCAGTGTTATCTAAACAAGTCTAAGGTCGAGACACATGGCACCTACATGCAGGTCTACAGTAAGTATACGTGGGGCCGGGTTTATCCGGACGGCCATTTCTGAATAGGATAGAAGTATCCTTTATTGTCAGTGTTGGGAAATGCAGGTGCACCTGCAGCAAGTTACAGGTAAAAAGTACTTCTCTATTCGCACAGAAAAACATCAGAATTAAACAAACTTGCGTCGTTGCACGTGTGTATGGTGAACTCCAGGCACCTCTTACACCCCATAATTCATAAATCTTGTTTATTTTATCAGTCATGTGAGTGACAGTGTCCATATTTTCTGCAGAGCAACTAATCTTGCATCACAAGACTGAGCTCATTACACACTGTCACCCGGTGGTTTTCCTAAAATAGCAACAAAACCATATCAAAGTGAAGTCGAGCTAATGAGTACAAGTATTGTGTGTCTAAGCCTAGATTAGTCTGCAAAAATGTGCTCCTCTGACCCAACAAAAGCACTGATTGTACAGTCCATTCTAAATGGAACAGTTATGTAAAACAAGTTTAATATATCTCCTCAGCAGCCTGCTAAATGATTGCTTCTTTTTCATTTCAATTCAGATGCCTCAAAACACGTTGTCATGCATGCTTAATGAAGTTTGTTTTACCCACTTTCATTGCACAATTAGAGCCAATGGAAAAAACCATAAACCTCAGTGAGAGCACCAAAAACACAATCCTGATGTTTGAAGGGTTCCTGCTGCTACTGTGTGTGATCGTGCCTTCGTCCATTCTCCTCTTCAAGGCGAGAAACTCATAATTTTGCACCAATCTGTCAAACATCCCAGATCTGTAGCACTTTGCTTCAAGCATGTCTAAATAGGGATGCGTCATTGCACTTATGCAAGAAATGACTGCAATGTGTGCATTGTTCTCTTCAATCAATGTAATCACAATCTCACTAATTCATCCCCACAGCAGTCGAGGAGTCTCAAGCAACTGGAGATGAAGAAAATGAAGCAAGAGGAGGAGAACATCTATCAGGTGACAATTAAATTATCACTTCCTCGTTAATTCAAGCACATCATGTATGATAGACAAGAAGGAACACAGATATGAATGTGTGAGCAGTTTTTTACAAATCAGATTCACTATTAATCTGCACAGTTTACTGATTTGTGTGCTTACTTTGTCTCCCCAAACACACACACACCAGGGCCTAAATCTGGATGAATGTTGTACTACATATGATCAGATCGAACGCTCCCAGGCACATGGTGCGTACCAAGATGTGGGAAACTGTGCGGGAGAAGGGGAAGCGATCCAGCTGGAGAAACCATGAAGGAAAGTGGGGTGGCTGAAAACAAACAAAAAAAAACCCCAGCTGATTTTTAATGTATGAAATTAAAGCTTAATTACAGTGTGCTAAGGATAACGCAAGCTTCTAATTCTTCTATTGCCAAGTTACATTTAAGTGTTTAACAAAACAGCCTCGACACTATTTTATACAAAGTTTATCCAGGAATTTGGAAATAACTGGTACATTCAGCCATTTTTACATGTTCAAGAGTATTTAAAACTGGATTATTCACTTTTTCTGAGCTATAGGGTACATTTTCATCAATTCAAAGGTTTGTTTTTAATAATGAAGTAGCTAAATGTTCAGATGATAGAAGACAGATTTTAGTACTGTGGTTGTTTATTAGCCTTTTTTGTGTGCTTGCAAAGCACTTTGTAATGAAAAACGTTTTCTTATGTGCCTTATTTTACTCATTTCCTTTTATTTTACCTGTACAATGCTTTTTTTACTTCTGTGAATTGGACTCTGAGTCCGGAATAAAGAGTACTTGACTCTTGTTCAACAATTAGAATTCGATCTTGCAATCTAACTGTAATTTCTGTAACTTTTTAGAGTGTAATAAATAATTAAAAATATCTGAATCATCTGAAGGCTAAAAGTCCTTTAATCTGCAGATATGAATGGGACAGGATGATCTTTTATGTGGTCCAACCAGTGGACGTTCATCTCCGACCGCCGTGATTGGTTACTGGACTGCTACGCGATCGCTCATTGGCTAGAATCGTTTGAATGGGCGGAGCCTCACCGATGCCAGGTATGTACAGAAATGAGAGGCAGGCGGTGCGTAAACGGAGTGGGTGAAGATGGCGTCGGGCAAGAAAGGTGGAGGGAATAACGTAGAGAGGGGCGTGAATGGAAAGCGCTCATCTAAATTCAAAGAGGGTCCTGTTGGTGAGTTTCTGGGAACTGTGTGAACCTCGCCCTTCCCTTTTTTTGAGAACGCTATTTTCCTCTAGCTAACTGGTTCGCTCTTTAGGGTTACAACCGTTGGCTTTATAGCAGCTCTGTAGATCCAGTGGTCGTCGTGTTGAATAAAAATGTCAGCTACTGATGTGTAAACCACCCTGGGGTCGTCTCTGGGTGATACGTAGCGTAACAGCATCCTCAGCATGCCTTCATTAGTGCCCAACAACCGTAATACATCACCTATTACACGCGTATCACAGATGTTTGTGTAAATGTCCACCTTTATGTAATAATTGTCTTCTAGTCTTAACAGCTGACCCTGACAGCACTCACCTGACCAGGTACTAAGCCTTAACTAGAGCGGATACGGTTAAGGAGGAATTAAAGTGAGATGTGTGAATGGGAAGAGTGTTGCATCTGCTCTCTGCGGACATCTGGGTAGACAGATGGTGACGCTGTGGTTTTACCTGTGACACCAGACTAGGCTGACTCAGAGTGGCATGAATAACTCCTAGAGAGAGAGAGGTAGTTTCGTGCAGGCATTGTGAAACATCTGTTAAACGTGTTTGATCGGATTTGTCCCTCTTTTGTTGCTGTAATGCAAATCAGGCCTGCTGCTTTCCTAAAGCCTCCATGCATTTATCATGTGAACCACTTGTTCGTAACAGTAATGTTATAATACTCTTAGGTCCATTTAACGATATTAGAGGTTTCCTTTAATCCAATCCAACATATCATCAGGTCTGTAACACAGTTTTAACAGGTTAATTTTCTGTATTCTCATTAGAGCTGCAGTAATAAATCAAACCTGGCTTACCAGTTTGGTGGGTGGGGTGTGCAGTTTCATTGTTACTAGTTTCCTGTTGTTGCCTTTGACCGTCTGTGCATCACACAGTCTCTGCCACAGGCCTTTTGTTCATTGCATAAGAGGCATCTGGAAAAATGTGAACACACACCAGCTAAGACAGCAGTGTCCAACCCAGGTCCCAGAGAGCCCTTATGTATTATGTTTTAGGTTGTTTCCCTGCTCCAACATACTGGATTCAATGGTTGAATGACCTGTTCAGCAGGTCATCTGGCTTTGCAGAAGCCTGTTAGTCAGCCAAGGGTTAAAATCAAGTATAGAGAACCCTCCAAAGCAGTGGTGGGGTTGGGACCCTGAGGGTCACCAAGAACTACGCAGGGGTCTTTAAATGACTTCCTGAAGTCTGAAATCAAATTGAAAAACAAATTTTGTAGCTTAATTTCTTGCATAATTGTTACAAAAACTCAACCAAATGGTCAGAAGCAATAGAAGTGACTAAGAGCTGATGCATGTTTCCTAATGGCCTGATTTATCTAGCTTTTTAGGCATGTTTGCTTTGTCAAATCAGAGATTTCTGATTTTGCACGTCATGATGATTGTGATTTTGTGGGTCTGTAGCTTGAAAGTTTGCGTACCACAGCTCTAAAACATGTTGGAAACATGCTCCGTGTCCAGGATAAGTGATTAAAGAAGGCAGATCCTTGTGACATAAAAAATCATGAGACTTTCTGCACGTGTAGCCTGATGAGGTTTTTGTGGTGGAGTTGGTTTCTCTTGATTGAAACAGTAAATGCTGTAATTAAACATTTCTGTGTGGCCTGCCATGAAAAATTAATCCATTTTAGAGCCGAAAAAACATTATTTAAACTTTTTTACCCCTTTTTACTGACATTTAGCCTGAATTGTAAATCATTTTAGCACATATTTGCAATGAGACTACAATAAAGTGTATAAAAGGGATCAATGTTAGTTTTATGAGCTCCATGGCACAGGTTTATATAAAGCTTTTATTTAAATGTAATAAAGCATTTCAAAGTCATACAGCAAGAATAGGGAATAATAGGGGAAAAGCACCTTTAGCAACAACAATAACCTTATTCCCATTAATAACCATTTCATTTCAATCAGCGCGTATACATGTGCATCTAGATTGTTCTAAAGTAATAAACTGGGAGCCTTTATCCTAGTTTACATGTACGTTAGAAAACCAAACTCTCAAATGAAGTTAGTTTCACTCCGGTACAGTAGGTGGCGACGTGCCCTTTGTGTCGGCATTCTTCCGGTTAGCTTATCCACCATATTCCTGCGTCCCGTCATGCTTTACGTGAAAGATGCAAGCATTTGTTTACATTCAGACAATACAATCCCTTCGTGCAAATCCTGTTTTATGGGCTTTTACAGACTAAAAACATGCATGAACACCAGCTGTCACAGCTCAAATGGGACACCGTTGGGGGGACCATCTTAAAGTCTGGCCAAAGCTAACGTACAGTAGCATTTTAGCTACTTTTTGAACTCATTCGCATCCAACAACGAGGCAATGAACAATCTTAAAAGCTCCGAGGCTGATCAGTACCAACATAGTAATAAGGCTGGCCGTGCTTTGTTGAAAGAGGTGGAACACAATCTTATTTACTTAAAAGAGAGAGCTAAGTCAGAGCCTTAAATCCATCATCACCAAGTTTTAGGTTTTAGTTTCTACATCAGGTGAAATACCAACAGCAGGATGGCACTTTTAGGTTAATAACAACAGTCTAAACGCACTTTAAATTATAACTATTCAGAAAATTGTACACATGAAATCATACCTTGTGAGACTGCCGTCAGATCTCTTTACTACCTCTGTGTTGCTTCTCCGGTTTGTCATAGCCAACAACAAAGTAGGATGCGGGTGTTCCTCTCTGGGTTTTCACAATAAAATGAAAGAAATGCACAAATAATGTTTGTGGTGGTTTTCAAGTTAAGATTTTTAAGCCACATCCTTCTGGATACCTCATCTGTGAGGAGGTGGTGAAAGCCATACCGAGACTTGCAGCCTCACGCTCTCTCACTCTGGAGGTGCATGTTCTAAATATTGCTCTTGTAGCTACAAATTTAATTTTTTCTGGTTGTTAGTACAAGTGAAAACTGTGCAACATATTCCCGAGTTGCCTGAGCACATTTTTCATGGGCAAATATATTTTTTAATCCTCTGCAAATGTTCAAAAGAATGTTACGAAACCTCACAATACAAACCAATGGGTATGCGCCACTTCCAGTATCTCACCAGATGCTGCTTGCATCAGCGTCTCTCCATGAGGCTACTCAAAAATAAGGTGGATAGGGAGCCTAAAGCTTGGTTTATGCTTGACGCATTTACTTTCCACTTGGTGATGCGGCTCGCGGATGGAACGCGCTTCACAACTTGCAGCGTTCATGGTTCATGCAGCTTGTCTCTGCGGTGACCCAATATTCTCCCAAACTGTAGGGGGCAGCATGGAGCTCTACGGCATAGTAGAAGTAAAAATTACTGTTGATTACAACATGGCATTCCAGCATTTTTAACAGCATCCTCGTCTTTTCCGACAGTGCGAGCTATTTCTCTCCAAGAATTATTGACAACACGTTGATCACGGTGATCTCTGAGAGCTGAATCATACAAATGTCTGTATTTACAAACCTCTGCCATACTAGTTCTTGCCAGTCCACCATGTTTTTCCGTGTTCGACCATCCACGTGGTTAGAAAATTTCCTAGGTGCGCGGTGCGGAAAGTTTGGGCCGTGCGGAGACGCGGTGGAGGGGCGTAGTTGTTAAAATGGCGCAATTTTGCCGCACGGAGCCGTGCGAACCTCGCTGACGCATCGAGCATAGACCAACCTTTAGTCTCCTCCCTTTCCAGTCGGCTATTGGGTCCCTGAACGGGGCTAAAAGAGCTATTTTCCAATCCACTTTGCCTTACACCCTGGATCACACATATGTTGTACTGCAATTTAAACGAAAAGTAATGATGTGTGTTTCGACCATTTACTTTGAGATTTATCAGCTTGTAAAAGTTGGTAATTAGCATGACTAGAAATAAGATGTTGGCACGTCGCATAAATGACGTCACCACAGAATCCCCTCTGCCCTAGCATAGCTGCTACTTACCACGTGGCCAGATTAATGGTGGTTCTTTCCTCCTGAAGGAAGGATTTGAAGTTTGCTGAACTTACAGTCATTTTCCATATGCCTTTTTCTGTGTCTGGTTCGATGATGTCACTTTCGTGAAGCGCATTTGTAGTCTTGAACTTATTTTCACACAAAACCTAAAATAGCATTTCCCTTCTTTTAAAAATGAGTGCTTTCTTGGTATCAAAATGCATGGCACATAACAAGCAGAATTAGGAAATCTTGTTTGTAGTCCCATTGACTTGCATTCATTTTTGTGTTCTTCCGGGGACCCGTGGTCCGGAAGTAGATGGCTGTGACTTAGGCTCCTTATCTGGGTGCTGTAGCACTTTTAAAACCAGTTTGCCTTCAGCAAGACTAACGCATTTACATGCATTTACGGCCATAGTTCAGATTTCTGATGCGCATGTAAAGACACCAACTGTGTGATGACCCCCCAGAAAGCAGACAAAAATGTGGAATAAAATGTATCTATCAATATTTCTATTTATAGACTTTTTAAATCTTTTGTGACAAAAGAAACTATAAACAAATCAACAATTAAAGCTATAAAATAACAAATTCTTGATTAATTTAAAAAATAGTTCCAGTTACCAAAGAAGCATGAAAAACAACATTTTGTCCTCCTTAGTCATATTGTTGTTTCTCTGTTTTTGGGTGAAAAGTCAAGTCTCCCTTCATCCTGTTATGGAGCGGTCATTTTTTTTACATCAACCCAAAATCCATTTCTGAGGTCATGCTTTTTTCCCCCAAGAAATACGTTCTTCAGAGTTCATTTTCAAAACATGTTTTCCATTTCAAAGCTTCACGTGCTAGACATGCCCTGTGTACACAAGTATTTCTCAAGAGTTGGAATTTGCGTATTTCTTTTGTCAAAGTTAGAAGACAGAGGATGGATTTATTGACAAAATATTAGTAAATGTCAGAACCGAAAACAAATGTCCCAAAGCATACAACTACAGTCATAAATTAAAGGCTAGCATTTTCTTAAAATAATGCATATCACATTACATCTTTCACTTCAGATTGAGT